CGATAATTTTGGCCGTCGTTTGATAACTAAATAAAATATGCTCCGATGGCTTGTAATAACATTGTACTTTACCAAACGGTACCTGTGCCAATCACTATCCTGAGTAAAGTGGTTAAAAAAATCACATAAGACATGAACCTACCATTAAATCCTGAATTACTATTATTTTTACTTACCTTTTAAACCGTGTGTATGTATGTGTGTGAAAGGAATATAAGGATAAACCATTTGCACAGATAGTTAATATAAATTATAAACTCTTGTTAGACAGTTCTTTTAAACAATAATCATAGTAATTTTTTGTCGATTCTATGAACATCTGTAAAAATAAATTAAAGCAGTAGGTATACAAATAATAAATCTTTAAATCTGCAAAAATATGTTATTTTCTGAAAAACTTTTTGGACAAACAAAATTATCGCTGTCATGTCTTATGTGATTTTTTGACTATAAAATAATGTTTTTAACTATTTTGCTCAGGTTAGTGATTGTCACATGTGCCTTCGGGGCATATTTAATTTCGCCAAAATTTGCAGTTGGCTCTTGGCCAAAAAATGATGCGGGAGTAAAATCTACTTTATTTATTAACCAAGACAGATAAAATTGTTTACAAAAAGTCAATAGGGTTTCACATCGCAATGCCATCCGCTTTGAGTTGTCTATATAACTATACATATAATTGTCCCTGTCAAAGTCTATCAGGCCGCAATTTTGACAGGTCTTTAAAATGCCTAATACATTTTTATCTTTTATCAATGACTAGTTGGGGATGTGATTCAACCTACTAAATTTTAAGCTTGGTCGCTTGAATGAGTTTGAAAACTGATTGTTATAGTAGGGTTTTAGGAAAATTAAATATTCTATAAAAATGGAAACAAATCATAAAGTTAATCAATAATAAATAAAAAAATGCTTATTATTACCTACATCTAATTGGACAAACAAACACAAGTTCCATTGCATCTATTTTAATGCATTATCAGATATTCAATTACTATATTCAAGGTTTTTCACCTATTGTGTTTTATTAAATATAAACAATAAATACACTTTGATCATTGGTTTATTTAAAAACATTTAGTAAAATTTTATAGTAAACTAGCTCAAGTATCCATTTTTATCAAGGTCTTGAACATTTATCTATCAAACAGAATCCAACGAGTAAATATTGATTAAATTAGCGTAGTATCTATACAAAATTGAGAAGTACCTACCTCAGAGAACAATATTAGGTCCATTTCTTGTTTTAATACTTTATGTTAGTTAATACAAATTTATATCTTAAAGAAGTTATGTTGATTTAAATTTGATCCAAATATTTTTAGGAATATTTTCTCAAGTAATACCACACCTATATATACTCCCTTAAAAGTTTTTACCAACGATTATGCGAATATCAAAAGTCCGGAAAGAAATGCGGTGGTTTATGTAATCGGTTACCTTTTAAAAAAATCTTTGTTGCAGTACTCTTGTGAAGTATGTGTTAATTATTTAAACAATACCAATCTTATTAACGAAAAAAATTAATTTTGTAAACTAAAGTCGTATGAGAATGAAAAATCTTCATTTGGTGGTTTGAAAGTGCCATCCCAAGATATTGTTGATTTCGTTTTAAAATTGGAAAACATTTTTGTACAAATTTTTTTACTTTGGCTTATAGGAAAGAAATTGGCACAAAACTCAAAAATGAATTTTGTAAAGTTATTTATATTCATCCTTGTAAAACTTTCCATTTGAATATTTTTTGAGTTTATATACACGAGTACGAATTTATTATACTTTAAAATTCATTAAGAATGAATTAAAACAAGAAAATTAAATAAAGATCGACATAAGGGTATCACTAAATAAACAATATTAAAAAAAAAACTTGTAAAAATCGTCTGTTTTTATCAGACTTCAAAAAAAAGAGGAGGTTTTCAATTCGTCGGAATATTTTTTTATGTATGTTCAGCAATAATTAGAATGGACAGGTACATACACGCTTGCTTATATTTCTATTTACCTCCGTAGAGGTTTCATCTTATTTTAATTTTATTTCTCTCAGTGCAGAGCCAACTTCAGCTTCTCAGCTCAACGTTTACTACGAAAATTCGCCAGTTTTTTTTTTGTAGCTAGTGCCCTATATCATATATACCTAAATCCCAATATACCATACCAATTTTCACGGCTCATCAAGCCAACGGTGGAGTTCTGTATCACACAGCAGCTCACTCCGTACAACTAAGACACCTTTTCAGGGAAATGATGATTTGTCCTTTGATCCTGCATTGACGAACCCTAGGGGTTATGAGCAGTCAAGGATTATTACTGATCCCACATTTTTTCAAATAAAGTTTTAATTAGTTTCAAATATCACTCCTAGCCTCAGACACTATTCCTATTTGGTCCAATTTCGAGTTTTATATTAGTTTAAAATGTACATATGTATTATCTTTATATGCAAAAACTAAAGATTAAATATTTTTAGTAATTCATTAACTCTCTTTATATTTCACAATTGGGGAACCCCTCGTACACAAATATTTCCGCTTGGAAGTCCCCTGTAAGACGCCGTTTTACGATAGAAAGCAGGTGGCCACGGCACGGTTTGATCTAACGCCCGACGCAGAGTGCAGCAACTGGTATATATTCTTTAAACTGTGGTAATACTTCGTAGAAAAAACAATGATCATATATTTTTTTAATTATTTTTTATATTTAACGCAGACGTTTGTATTAACTAACCTTGAAAGGATTTAAAAGCATTTATGGTATTTCCAAACAGACATTTTATAGCCGCAGTCCATTATATTTGCTATTGTTTATTTTGAGGGACGCCCATGTTCTCACAACGACTGTAAAATCGTATTATTTATGATTGTATGAAAATTGCGTTTTGAATGGCAAATGCTTGAGCTCTTTCGTAACAATAATGACTTAGACAATAAAAATGGCTAAACAAAATACAATGACCAAGTTGAACGGGTCAACATACTAAAATTTTTCGTGTGTCGGTGTCAAGGAACTGACCGTGTGTGATGCTGATCTAATAATTCAAGTTAGGAGGTTTGATATTACTATAATTATAAAAATTTGATGTGTCCAACGCATGACTTTCCTATCTAGTTATTATAGGCTTTTTCCAGTTATTTTGTACAACCTATTGCAGCACATCTATAAATGTTTAGAGGAGAAACTAAATATATACATTTTCCACATACATCTACCTCGAAACATTTTTTTATAGATATTCATTGAAAACGAAAATACTGAAATATTTAAATTTAGCACTTTTCCTCCAATTTTTCCATTACGGACCATTTTAGAAAAATCATGTATAAACAAAAATTATAGAGATCGATATCGCAAACAACTTTTAGTTCAACAATTTTCTTAAAAATCAGAATATTGCACATTTTGTCAAATTTCTCGAATACGGACCATTTCAGGAAAATTTGACATAAAACCAAAATTATAGATAACATTAGAAGTAACTTTTATTTGAACAATTTTCTTACAATAACAGATATATTCCATAAAATATAAAAATGGCCCTCTATAAAGTACCCCCCAAATGTTCCGATTTTCCCCAAAATCAGTTCACCGCAGGCCGGAATAAAGCTTAAGTTCAAAATTTGGTGTTTTTCTTTTTATCGGTTCATGAACTATAGTGGACACACACGCACGCATGCACGCCCGGACGCACGCACGCACGTACGCACGCACGCACGCACGTACGCACGCACGCACTCACGAACGAATGCACGCACGCTCGAACCCACGCACGCAAGAACAAGAGGGAACTGAGATTTTCAGGTTTCTGTTTTTCATTTGTGTGCCAACTAAGAGTTTAAGGATTTTTTATTTACTATCTTCAAGAATATATTTTTTCTCTCATTTTCGTAAAACTACTTTAAAAAGAAGAACATTTTCATTTCAGTTTTCCCAAGCGCGGTTTCACCAGCGGTAATCCGCATTTCCACCTCAGCTTTCAAATAGTAGGTACCCATGTAGTTGTTTGTTAAGGCACCTCTAGCGATTTTTTCATTTGTCTCTATGGCAAACAATGCAAACATCGTGCTGCGGTCTCTCACGAACAGACAGGCAATGACCGCCATCGGGGGAGGGGTCATCGTAAATATTTCCAAGTGTCAAATCATATCTCGAAGGTAGCTATGATATAGGTGTACAATGTGGGGGGTTGTACGTACAATATTATACACTCTGAGATAAGAAATACTGACGTTGTTTGTGTGCATGACCGTACGAATGCCACGTTCGATGTAATTTCAATTTTTTTTTTTTGGTCGCTATAGTTTATATGCTTCATTAATATTCAGTTAGAACTTGCACGAAATGTCAAGATAGGTGCATTAATGAATGTCTCTAAAACTAAAGCCAGTTCCTTTCTATACAGCTCAAAATACCAATCGCACAAACTTCAATAGACTTTTTTATTGATGATATCTATTACTCATGCGCAAATCTTACTTCCTGTTAAAATCATTTAATTTTGTTGTTGTTAAGTGTCTTAACCTGAGTGCCAATTACACATCCGTAAATGTCACTGGCTCCGCTACTGTATAGTTTAGATGACAGTTGTTTAAAGTAATGATGACAACGAATAGTGTCTTTAAATCCATATTCAGTAATTTGGGAGATAATTTAACTGCTTTGGCTTTGAATTTCTTGTTTCTAATACTAACCTTGTTACAGAATATATTATTACTAGTTAGGTATTATCTCTAGAGACTTATTTTGCAATTTATGAAATACCCTGTAAACATAACTATCTTAAATTATTCCTAACTTCGAATTACAACTCCCCCCCCCCTACAGTCTGTCTAGAAATGAAATAAAATTCAATTATAAAGCCCCCGTGTCTCTCCGCCTTTGCCCAAAACAATAAGAAATAAATTTCGCAAGTAGTTTTTTTTCCAATTCAAGAGTACTGTTGGTTCGTTCAATAACACCCAACGAACGTTAGTGACCATTTTGAATGATTTATTGACACTTACTATAAAGCTTGAAGAAGAAGTTGCTATAATTCTTCAGGTGACATTCATGGGGGCGTTTGGATTCTTCAATTAACTGAAACAAAAAAAAAATTATGAGAATGTTGAATTACGGCTCTTCTAAAATGAAAAGCTGGATATCGAGGGTGAAGAAGATTCACAGGAAAGCGTTTACAAATGTCAGCTATCTGAAATAAACATTACAACTGTTTTGTGCAACAATTTTTATAGGGACGTTTCTTGATATATTTTTAAAAAAGATATTTAAATATCCCATGGATGTTAACATTTTAACATCATATTCATTTTTCAATTTTTATTTTTTAAAAGCCTTAGTACAGATAATTATATTATTCGATAATTTAAATCTATACAATGTTATTATTCAAAAGATTCCCTTTATCAGGTAGACATTTAAATTTAATTGTCTATCTCGATAGGCAGTACTTCGATGATCAAAAAAAAAACTCTGCCCTAAATTTAATTTTGATCAGTAATACACCTATAATAAAATTTATTACCTTTAGAACATGAATAGGGTGTCATTCTCTAGGAAGGATAAATTATGTTTATTAAACAAGATATGATTTGCAAAAAGAGAATTTGTGTTAGTAATATGAAATTATTTATATTTATTGATTGTTTTGCAATGTTTTATGATTTGGGTTTCTATTTTTCGACCTGATTTTCCCACATAGATTAACTTATAAAGTATTGCAATTTAGTAAATACACCTCTGGTTTGTGGAATGTGGTCATTATATCTTTATTATAAATTAATAGTGAATTGATACTATTAAAAGCTATATTAATGTTAAATTTTTTAAGTATTTTAGCAAGGTTACAGTAAATATAGAAACAGGAAAAAAATTAAGATTGGTAATTAAAGAAGGGTGCTCTGAAATAGTAGGATATGTGAACCTGAATTTATTGAAAAATTTTTAATAGATTTTTTTTTAAATTTGGTGTCATCGGCATCGTCTACTAAGGTTATTAGCCTCGTGTTTTGTGTAGGCTTTGTTCTGTTTCCCAGCGCCACTTTAGGAACAGCACTGTTAATTAGAACCCAACAGAGAATGGTCGAGTGGGGAATCCTACCAAGGCATCAGAATTAATTTTAAATAATTAAATTAAATAAAAAATCCCGGCCAACTGTAAATAGATTTTGTTACGAAGTTCTGAAACGAAAATCATTATTTACTGCAAGTTGTTTAATTGTGTCTTTTTCTTTATTCAAAGTGTATTCTGATAATGCGAATGTGACGGCTATAATAATATATAAGAAACTGTTAAAGGCTGCTTTTCTATGGGAAATAGGGAGGCGGGAATCGAAAGTGCCATCAGTAGTGGCGAGTTCTCTCTTTAGATCTACATATCTAAAAGGAAAGCTGAAAGGTTAGATCCCTAGCCAAGCCTGTTTATAAAATGTGTGATAACGATTAAATTAAAAAAAAATTAAAATAAGGCTTGAAGTGATGCCTGCCTAATAGGTAACATCTAAAACACATGGGTTTCGACATCAGAAGCTTTACAACTTTAATTTTTTTTTATATCTAATAAAATAATAATTGCTTCCTATTGCTTTTTTATTTTGTAAGGGTTTATTAACAATGATTGTAAATATTTCTATTTTCTCCTATTAAAATTGATCAAACTATATTCCAATAGAAATGATAAATTAAATTACTAATTCAAAAAGGAAGCCGACACATCATTTTTACGAAGCCAAAGTTGTTTTTGCGGTCAAAATCCATCTGTATCTATTCATATTTGTCGAAAACCCAATTACCCACTTCTTAATAAACCAGTAAACATAACAAACTGAAACATTTACAGTACAGTGTAATTGTAACTCACTAATTGTTTAATAACGTTCTTGGCCATTGACTTGACATAACCTCTTTCATTTATACCTACATACTCATCTTTGGTGTCGCGTACTTATGTGATTTTTAATGAAATCTGAAATCGATACCAGTTCGTCAGTTGTAAAATATGGCACTTCAACAGCTGTTGATTTCTTTTATATATTATACGCTCTTCATATATAAATTGGTAAATATGTGTTCGCTTTTAGATTAAGTTGTCATTAAATATTGCAATGTTTATCGAGTTAATATTGACTATAAATAATGAAAACAAGGTCGTGTATACAGGCACTGCAAACTGTATCTTTATTTCTATTAATTTGTAACTGAAAATTAAGTAGATTGCTGGAATCACCAAGGAGCACTTATGACATTTTAGTTTATTTATTTATTGATGTACCAAATATTTAGTCGGGAAAAAATTGTATTACTACTTTTTTTTACTACTTCTTAGGGCTGGTAAAGTACTTTTTTTGCAAAACTCTTCTTTTTCTTGCAATGATATGACAGTTTTGTTTAATTGTATGCCATTTACAATGAAGAAATTCAGTTCACACGTAAGTGACGTATCTGTAATGATGATAAAAAACTCCTTATATACTTATCTTACTATTTGGAAGTATTCTTTTCTTTATACAGAAACTAAAAGAATTAATGCGAATCAACTTGCTTCATTATATTATATCACGCCATTAAGGCATCGTCTAGCGTACTTATCAAGGCATCCTTGTAATTTATTATCGTATTTACGTAAAGAGATCGACAGTTACGCCCCTGTACGGCTAGAAATTATTTTCATCGGCCTGTCGTAAATAAAGCGATAAATACCAATGAAATTCTTACGGAGTTGCAACCAACCAACAACACAGAGAGAGGACTAATCCTCAAGGCAGGTCATGATTTATAACATATAAAGTCTTAATTATTGAGTACCAGTCCCTGTAAACACCACTATTACTATTTTCTCTAATACCACCGGACCTATTGTCAAGGGGGTGCAAAAATTGCACTGATAACCCCGCAACATTTTAATAATTAAATTGAAGACAACTCTTTAACAATCACGAAACTAGTTGACACAACCATACTTATATGAAATGATCCAGTATTTTGGCGGTCATCGTTGAAGTATAAGTAAACGAAAATATACGATTTTCATGGGACTATATTATTATTATTATTATATTATATATTATCTAAGATAAACTCGCCCTTCACACTGTTCAACCAATAAACTTTTTGTCCTTATCATATAGCAGACGGGAAAAGGGATCGCGTACGTAGTGTTTCTAAACGGTTTGTTTATTTTTATAAAAATTATGTATTGATCAAATCTTTATAATCTATACACGTTCAATAGGACTTCTGAATCAAAAGTAAATTAAAAAAAAACACATATATTATAGCCGCTTTGTATATTTTTTATAGATTAAAATAACAACTTAAATTGGAAGAACAGTTTTATTAGTATTTGAAAGTGATACAATTAATTTTATAGTATCATTGTTAAAAAAATACATGACGAGAAAATAAAAATATAAAGCTATTTATTATTTATTTCTTTATGAAATAAAAAACTTATTAAAAACAATAAAACAACTTTACTTCAAACAAAAATATACAAATAGGGTCTTATCAAAACATATTCTTTGGATTGTACGTCACTTTTAGTATTATCTGTATAACGGTATGACAACTCTTTTAAGACACAAATCAACGATAATTTTGTACATGCCTTTACATTGTTAAATTAATCAAGCCTTATTCCCTGTATTCCTTCGTCTATGCTAACAAAACCTTACCTAAGAAATGACCGTTTAAAATTTTTATTACAAATATTTTGGCACACTACACATTTCCTGACAATCTTAAATGTCCTTATTAAACATTTCAATGTTCAAATTATTCTCAAAAATCTCAAAAAACCACAAAAAGGACAATAAAACTCAGCTGTCCCTTGACGCCGTCAACGAAATATCTTAAGTTGACAAACTTAAAGGCTATGAACGAGAATATTCAATATTTACATACAATACACGTGTCAAATTCGTCAACAAAGAGTCACTTTACTCACTACATATTACATATTCCGGTTCCCATTGAAATTAATCAATTAATGAAAATAAAATAAAAAATATACAAGAAAACTAAAAATTAAAAACTTAATTTAATGGTAAATGAGTGCAGTTGGTAGCCTCTCTAATACCTTCTTACCTATTGTAAATCGTAAAGTATTATCTACAGACGTACGAATTATGTGATAAAAGTACGCGAATGCCGGGGAATAAAGTGTGTATAGATAAAGGATAAAAAGAAAGGATTTTATACTATACCGCTTACGTGGTAGTATAATTGTAGGTATTGGATCGAAGAATATCCATAATTTTTATCTAAAATATCTTCGGTGTTAGGATGATATGAAAAATTATCAGCAGCGTAGTTAATGAGTGGGGTCGATTAGAGAAAAATTTTAAAAAATTAGAAATAATGAGGAAGTATCTTAGAGTGCCAAGCCTTCACGGACTAATGTGGGAATATTGCTGTTATTATGCAAATATTTTAATTGTGAGAATATGAACGTGTTTGATTGAGCTTTAATATAAAACCCTGTATTAACATATTCCATTAAAAAAAATATTCTTTTTAAGTAAACGATATAAAATATTTCGGTAACGAATTCATTGTTTTGTTCAAATAAAACATTTATATTTAGTATCGCTATTTATTTTTCGTCTGTTCTTCTTCTTTTATGTGATTATCGGCTTAATCCGATTTTCGTCTATTCAAGTATGGGATCTTTAAAATCAACTTTTTTAAACAAAATCGTCAAAATCCAAGACTTTGTCAATGTGGGAACAGTGCCAAAAATCTAAAATTATCAAAAGCTCCAATTTAGGGTGAGCAGACGTCCACGTTATTAGTTTTTATTAAGAATATCTAACCTTTGTGTTTTCCAAATCGATCTCTTAAAATAACTTCTAAGACGCCTACTTGATAGAAAATATTACAATTATCCTAAAAATTGTTAACTTATTTTAATATTCGCCTTTTTTTATCAAAAGCCGTCCAAAAAATGAAATAATAAAGGAAATAAACACGAATTCCTATTACTAGATAGATAGATAGATAGATAGGTCGGTCGTCAGTTCGGTCGTCAGTTCGGTCGTCAGTTCGGTCGTCAGGTCGGTCGTCAGGTCGATCTGTCTGTC